TGACTATTGTGATTTCTGTATTATTTTATCAACCTCTTTCCAAAACCCCCAAAACCAGCCCCCCTTTGGTACTGCCTCAAGGCCATAGGTAATGCTACCATCTTTCTGAATTATCCAGAATTGAAGATTTGTTTTCATTATTAGTTTTTAATTCTTCAGACACATTCATTAGTCACAAACCTTTAATTTTTTTTCCCACAATTTACCTTGGATGCTCTATTTATATAATTGCTTCTGGGATCAAATAATCCTTATATTATATTTACTACCAGTCAACAGCTGAACCTTTGCTTTCGTTCTCTCTGCATGGCAATTGATTCTACACAAGAACGCATGTATGACCTTTCTAAAGCACAACATGTATCAGGCGGGCCCCTCTCAAGATTAAAAATTCCTAATTTTTAAAAAATCTTCTGGTACGTCAAATACATACTTCTCAATTTAGCTCTCTAGAAATACTTTTAAAACTCCATTAACTCGTATTGGCAAACCGTTTATCACTGGTCAAATAAAACTCTATAATCCAGTTTTTTACCCCTAAATTCTTGTATTCCCATTCCAGTAGAAATGTTTATCCCAAAATCATGCTTTCTTCAATTTCTTCATAAATCTATGTCCCTCATTAGGTCAAAATTTAGATCTTTATGGGATTTCTCCTAGACTTTTCTAGCCCCTGATTATTTATTCAAAACTAGTTCAAGAAAAATCAAACTGCGTTTCTCATTACTTCCATATACTGAATGGTAAGGTATACAGAAATAGGAGATTGGCATCGCCTTCAAAAACTCTGGTGCAGTAAAATAAGAAGACAGAAGGACAAAGAAAGAGACCCAGGAAAATGCAGGAAGGACATCTCATCCAGACTAAAGAGCTTGGGAGTAGCTTTAATGAGATAAGTAAGAAGGACTACCAAGAACGAGTAGGTGTGCATCATATGGATGGGGCAGATGTGATGGGAAAAGCTCTGTGTTTCCACTGGAGTTACACGTAGTCTGCAATAATTGCATTATTTGTGGTAGTTTATATTAGGTTGAGCTTTGTTGAAATAATGTACAATAAACCCAACTCCAGTTTGAAAACGTTTAGTTCCAATACAGAAAATAATACAGCGGATACTAGCAATCCCACAAACATTCAAATCCCTTTTTCTAATTAAATGGTGTTTGAATGTAATATAAGTGTCGAACTTCAACAGATGGCTTTCAAATTCAAAATGTTTTCCGTATGGAAAATATTTAAATGCTGTTCTGTGAGGTTGGCTGGATTTTATTATATCAAATATGGAGCAATAGCAAATTATTTTTGTTCTAAAAACTCTTATTTTAGGAATTCTCTTTTGTAAACTATTTTTGCCATCAGTATAATATTTTTGTTTTAGAAATATTTTACAGGGGCACTTGGGTGGCTCAGTCAGTTGAGTGTCTGCCTTTGGCTCAGGTCATGATCCTGGGGTCCTGGGATGGAGCCCTACATCGGGCTCCCTGCTCAGCGGGAAGCCTGCCTCTCCCTCTGCCGCTCCCCCTGCTTGTGCTTTCTCTCTCTAATAAAAAAAAATAGAAATATTTTACACAAACTTTAATGTTATAAATAAATATTACGCTGTAAATTTGTACTTACCAAGATTAATTATCCTTTTTTCACACATTATTATAATATAAAAAAATAGATATATATAGAAATATGTGTGTCCCCATCAGACACAGAAAGGTTTTAACACATGCTATCATGTTGTTTAGTTAAAAAGATAACTTATTCTCAGACTCTCCAAATTCCCTTCAGTTGTAGTAGAGGGAAGGTTGTACGCAAGACTTTTGAAAACCAAATACAATTGATGAACGTTATAATTGTTGCCAGCATTGTGTTTCTTACATTAGACCGTGCATTCTCAAAACTCTCATGGCTGGCTGTCTATGCCACTCGGAGATATGAAAAAGCAGTGTTGCTATCTTGACTGACTTTTTGTGAGCAATAGTCTATACTTTAAGATCAGATCTTTGTTGAACTGGAAAGTCTTAAAGGATTGTACTAGAGGTAAGATGATAATGGACATCGGATTTCCTAAAACGGAAGAAAGTGAAAGAGGTAAACAGCACTGCTGAGGTTGATGGGACCTAAGCAGCATCCCATGAGGCCAGAGTGGGCAGTCCTCAAGCTTATTTCCAGCAACACTCCTTCCAAAGCCCAGTGACTTTCTCTGGAATAAGAAAAGTTAATGAATGGCACTGGCTTCAGCAAGTATAATTCAAACACTATTATCGAACTTTTATTTTAATAATCCACTTTCCTTTCTGAAGAATATTTCTTGAAATACACTTTTCTCCCTGCAGTGTATTTTCTTCTAAAAGTTCGATTTCTGCTACTACATGATGGACTAGATTTATTGTTTTTTTAACATGTAGGTTGTAGCCAACTCCAGTGGGACTGCAGAGATTAAAATTCGGATGTTTTCTTATCAGTTTAGTAGTATCAAGGCTCACTCTAGGGAAATCTCTTTCTCTAAATAGAATGTGTAAGTCTCCTATGGGGTGTTGGGTAAATGATCAAGGAAAGGGTTCATTGAAATTGTGAGTAACATCTTACAGTTTTTCTTGTTTCTCTTTATCAAGGTCATTTGGCCTTCACAGCCTTCTAGTGCCCTTCCTTTATGTGCCTGGTTTATTGGGTTCAATACTGTGAAGAACAATAATGCTAGCACCTCCCACTATAATAGCCAAGATTGATCTCGCAAGTATTGTGGGCCAGGAATAGTTCTAAATATGCCACACGCATTATCTCATTTAATCTCTGTATGCACGTGCACATACAGCCCAGGAAAGAGGGAACATTTGGAAATTTAACCTTTTTGTCAACATCCTCTTCTGTGTGGAGGGAAGATTCGAGGTTCCCATGCTCTGCTTGAGCCTTGCATCCCTCACAGAGCTTATCACGATGCCCTGTGAGCAGTAATTCCTTAAGAAGGGTTTGTGAGAAGGATAGGAGCATGTTTAAGGTAGGGCTGGTAGCGCTACTTGAGATAACTGCCCCTGCTCCTTAGACTCTCTCTCTGCTGTGGGTGTTTTGTTTCTCCTTTCTTTCACACCGTCCTTATTCACGGCCCTTCTGTCTCTTAATGATGCTTTTACATATTTTTGGTGGCAGAAGGTCTGCCATAGTAACAGCACTAATGAGTCACATTTTCCCTGTGGCACAGACATGGCCATCGTGGTTTTACAGATAAACCAAAGAATCACGGAGTCGTCCAGAATGTTCTGCTCCTATTGAAATGATCAGATAAATGTAAAAATATGTTAGAAAAGTTTCAGAGTTATAAAGGAATTGCAGCTTTTTAAAAAAGATCTTGTATGAGAGAGAGGGAAAGCACATGCTCAAACAGGGGGTATGGGGCAGAGGCAGAGGGAGAAGCAGACTCCCCAGTGAGCAGGGAGCCCCACGCGGGGCTCGATCCCAGAACCCTGGAATCATGACCTGAGCCAAAGACCTACTCTTCACCGACTGAGCCACCCAGGCGCCCCAAGAATTGCAGCTTTTAACATTATATTCCCACTTTGAAATACCAAGGGGGAACTTCTTAACAGATTTTCTGATGTGCTCACTCCCTGCAGCAGTATTCTTTGAAGGACTGTGTGTGCACAGCTTGGGAATAGCTTGTAACTATTACATGTTATTAGGTGCTATGCTGTAAGTATTAGAACTCAGAACGTTTTCAATTAATAAGGGAAGCAGGAATTCACTGTGTCAAACTCTTAAAATGTGAACATAGAGAGGCGTGTTTTTAAAGTACTACTTCAACTCTGAATAAAATACTTGCTAGATAATAAGAGATCTTGACTAATATTTTCTTAATTTAAAATAGGCACACTTAAATTGCTTTGTCATATTTTCCATAGATATTTACTGCTCTTTTTCCCATAGACAGTGTTCTCGTTTTGCTTTCACCTGGAGGCATCTGTACTTATTTAACAGAATAGTTCTCTGTTTCCTTGAATGCTATCTGGAATATCGTACATGTGATATGTGATGCAAATTGATGCTTCCCAGAAGCTTTACTGATTATGCGGTTTCAGGGAAATCTCCCATTTTATTTTTAAAGATGCTCTCTCTCTTCTCTTCTTGGTCCAAAATATTTTACCCAAAGCCTGACTTTGGCTCTGGAGTGAAACAGGCGTGGCTTCAGTTCTGGCCCCATCACTTTCCGCCACAGGCCCCAAAACAAGCTGTTTACACTTGCCAGGACTTAGTTAGTTTCCCATATGTAGTTTTGAGGACTTTTGTGAGGTTGCCTGTATTTATATCTGCTCAGTAAATGTTAGCAATTGTTTTTATTTTCAGTAAGGGTAATTGTATTAGCAGTAACTGTGAGTTACTATTTAATGTTGGCTTTTTTTGTTTGTTTCTGTTTTTGTTTTTGTTTTTTTGATAGAGAGTGGGGGTGAGGCAGGGAGGGGCAGAGGGAGAGGAAGAATCTCAAGCTGGGCACGGAGCCTGATGCTCGGCTCGATCTCACGACCCTGAGACCACGACCTGAGCCCAAATCAAGAGTTAGATGCTCACCGACTGAGCCACCCAGGTGCCCCTTAATGTTAGGCTTTTTTTTAAAAACAAAAAATCACTTTATAGTATTCTGATAGTTTGGCTTATACGTATGTCAGACTTGAAAGACACATGATAATCACTAAATTCACTTTCTGTCCAGGCATGACACCTTAAGGCAAGTTAGGTTGAACTATCAGGATGATATACTTACCGTGTTTCAACAGCACGTAGAGTTTCTCTAAACAGAATTTCAAGTCCATACTATATTTTAAGTTAAATTTATAATAAAAATCTGTGTGCAGATGTCATAAAGCAGTTTTAGAACAATGAGCAGGCTCTGGAGGAAGCATAATTGGTTCAGTGTTTCTGGAAGAACAGCTCTGTAGCTTTGTGCGGTGCGTTCAGGCATCTTACTTCCCTTACGGTTCCAATTTAAGTAACTAAAAGGATGTATTTTTGCTTTTCAGTCACTCAAGACTGCTTGCAACTGATTGCAGACAGTGACACACCTACCATACGGAAAGGTAATAAGATCATCTCCTGCAGCGTTTCGACTTACAGTTCAATCACTTGTAAGATTGTATTCAGACTTCATCTCAAATCAGCTGTCTGCCTCCAAACTTCTCAGAATCAGATGTAAAATAAGAAACTTCAATTTATTCAGAATGATCGGGGAATAAATACTTAGGCTAAGGTAATAATCTAACAAACAGAATTACCTTAGAGACACAAATACTTAGAGATTTAAAATAATTAGCATTTGATAAAATCAATACTAAGCCAAATTCAGGGTTTTTTTTTATTTTTTAGAAATCATTTTGGCTTCTCAGTGACTCAAGATCATCTTCACAAATATTAATTGCCCTATTTTATTAGGTTTTAGAAATCATAATGGGATGAAGTTGAAACTGAACGTACCATAAACATTTTATATTATTAGTAAATATGTGCAAATGAATATAACACTTTTATGATAATCCAATGTGAAATGATTGCTTTATATTTTGCATGTATTGGTTAAAGACATACAGTGTTCTACTTACTGTGTGGGCCGTGGGGCTTAGCAAAGAATAAAATGTGTATTGTTCCTCACTTTCATGGAATTTACCTTTTGATGAGGGGAAACAGAGAAAAAAAGCTAATGAACAAGTGAAATGTAGAATGATAAAATTAAGTCCTATGGGGAAAACTCCAGCAGGAGGGGGGCTAGGGAATGTCTGGGCTGTAAACCAGAACAGGGAGTTCACAAGTGTCAGAGGGTTAAGCTGGGGACTAGAAATGGGGAAACAAGAAGGAGCCCAAAGAATGAATTTGGATGGGCCTTTATAATGAGTGCCAGGAGTGCTGTCTTGCATCTGTATTTTTCTAATTGGCTTTAATTATCCCAAATGTAACATAAGTACTAAACTATTTGAAATTCTGTTATTATTTATTGCTCTGCATTTTCTGGAGCCTTATGTTTGCAACTTTAATAGGCAGCGGACTGTTTACTAAGAATTAAAATGAAGTCAGAAGAAGACCTTAAGGACCAAAGATAAAATTTTAAAAATATAACTTAGGAAAAGTTTGTTTTACACATTTTGCCAAAACAAAAATGCTGTCCGTCACAAAGAAAGATGAAGCTGCTACTTGATCATGAATGTGAGTTGCACAGAGGATTGTGTGTGATCTTCCTGGTTGGTGGCTGCTCTCCACTGACTTTGGGGTGCTTATCTGCGTGCTTTGCCCCTTGGATGCATAGGTTAGTCTGGTGATGCCAGCAGGCCTTGAGCAGCACGGAACTGTTAGTGGGCATGGGCATATTTTAGCACCACTACTTGCCTGCATCCTGCAAGGTCTGATAGGTTGTGTTTCCATTTTCACTTGTCTCATGATATTTTTAAATTTACTTTTCGATTTCATTTGACCCGTTAGTTGTTGAGGAGTGTGTTGCTTAATTTCTATGTAGTTTTGAATTTTCCTATTTTTCTCCTGTTACTGATTTCTAGTTTCATGTCATTGTGGTTGGAAAAGATACTTGATGTGATTTCAGTCTTCTTAAATCTGTTCAGATTTATTTTGTGCCCTAACACTTTTTTTATTATGTTCAATTAGCCAACTTATAATACATCATTAGTTTTTGATGTAGTATTCAATGATTCATTAGTTGTGCCCTAACATTTTATTTATCCTGGAGAATTTTCTTTGTGCACTTAGGAAGAATGCATATTCTGATACTGTAGGACAGAATATTCCATGTATATCTGTATACATGTATATCTGGTCTGTAGTGTTGTTCAAGCACACTATTTCCTTATTGATTTTCTTTTGGATGACTTATCCATTATTGAAAGTAGGTATTTAATTCTCCTACTCTTACTGTCTTGCTGTCTATTTCTCCCTTCAAATCTGTTAATATTTTCTGTATACATTTAGGGGCTCCAATGTTGAGTGTGTGTGTGTATATATATATATATATATATACACACACACATATATATATGAATGTATACATTTGTTATATCCTCTTGATGAATCGATCCACTTGTCATCATATAATAACTTCTTTGTCCCTTGTGACATTTTTTTACTTGAAGTCTATTGTGTTTAATGTAAGAATAGCCACTTCTTATCTCTTTTGTTTACCATTTGGATGAAATACTATTTTCCAGCCTTTCACTATGTGTGTCCTTAATGCTGAAGTGAGTTTTTGGTAGGCAGAATATGGTTGCATTTGGTTTTTTTTTCAATTCATTCAGCCACTCTATGCCTTTTGATTGGGGAATTTAATCCATTTACATTTAAAGTAATTATTGATAAGACTTATTATTTTCCTTTTGTTAATTGTTTTCTGGCTGCTTTATAGTTTCTTTGTTCCTTTCTTCCTCTCTTGGTGTCTTCCTTTGTGGCTTGATTATTTTGTGTGCTGATATGTTTTGATTCCTTTCTGTGTGTATTTTGGGTATCTACTACAGATTTTTTAATTTGTGTTTACTGTGACACTTACATAAAGCAACTTAGTTATAGTAGTCTGTTTTAAGCTGATAACTTAATTTTGATTTACATCTTTTATAGTGTGTCTATTAACAAACTACTGTAGTTATAATTCTTTTAATACTTTCGTCTTTTACTTTTATACTAGATTTCAGAGTGATCTATACTCATTATAGCCATTTCTTTCAGGTTTACTGGAGATTTGTTTTATCCCTTTGATTGTGTTGCATTTTCTTGATTCTTCACGTTCCTTGCAGAGCTGCTTTGTTGCCTATGAAGCTAACTCTCCTACTCCTCATGGACTGATTTTGACTGGGATACAATTTTACTGGTCAGCAGTGCTTGATATTAGCCACTGTAAGGCCTCCAGGAGCAAGGCCCCCTTTGCTTCCTCCCTCCCCTCCTGGAGGAAAATAATCTGTTCTCTGCTTTTCCTCAGTCGTGCAAAACAAAACAAAGCAAAACAAAACAAACTGCTGGCTATAAAAAAATGTCCTCCCCTTTTCTTTGTTTCTAACTGTCACAGGGACCAAGCTCTTTCGGTTGTTCAGCACAAAGTATGAGGCAAGATGGAAACCAGCCCCACAGAAGGGACTCTGAGAGGCCATGTGGCCAGGTGCACACTCAGATCTCACCATCCCTCCATGGGGGAATCACAGACAGAGGCTGTCTTTTCGGTGCTGACCGAGGCCTGTCTGGGGGAGGGACTGATGTGAATAAGTTGAAATTGTTCCTCTTACCTATATAAATGTGACTGCTTCTGAGTCTGTGCTTTACTACTTAGCTTCTGCTTCTTAGCTGGATTCTGAATTTCTTTTCAAGGTATTTGGCATTTTCAAGGTATTGTTAAATCAATGTTTCTGGGAGGGATGATGTGTAAGGTTTAGTACGCTGCACCTTGCTGACATAATCCTTCATTCATCCCACTGTCCTTTGTCTACACGGTTTCAAGTGAGAAATCAACTGTTAATATTATTGAGCATCCCTTGTACTGGAAGAATTGCTTCTCTCCTGCTGCTTTCAAGATTTTCTCCTTGTCCTTTCTTTCAACCACTTAATTATAATTCACCTTGGTATGGATCTCTTTGAGTTTCTCCTTTTTATTTTTTTAAAGATTTTATTTATTTATTCATCAGAGAGAGAGAGCACAAGCAGGGGGAGTGGCAGAGGGAGAAGCAGGCTCCCCACTGAGCAAGGAGCCCAATGCAGGACTCGATCCCAGGACCCTGAGATCAGGACCTGAGCCAAAGGCAGACGCTTAACTGACTGAGCCACCCAGGTGTCCCTGAGTTTATCCTTTTTAGAATCCATTCAGCTTCTTGGATGTGTAGATGCATTCTTTCTTCAAAGTTAAGAAGAGTTTGGCCCTTATATCTTCAAATACTCTTTCTGCTCCTTTCTCTGCTCCTTCTGGGACTCCCATAATGCAAATGTTATTAGTCTGATTGAGGGTCCCCTATGTTCGATTCACTTCCTTTCATTTCTTTTCTTTCTGCTCCTCAGACTGGATAATTTTAATTGTTCTATTTTCAAATTTGTGGATTCTGCCTTCTGCCTGCTTAATTTGCTCTGTAACCTCTCTACTGAATTTTTTAATTTAGCTATTTTACTTTTTAGCTCACAAGTTCTATTTGGTTCCTTTTTTAACAAAATATTTTTTATCTGTTTACTGATAGTGTCTGTTTGTATATACATAATTCTCCTAGTTTTCTTAGGTTCTTTGTGGTTTAAGGAGCATATTTAAAAGATATAAATCTTTGTCTAGTAAGTTCAATGTCCAGGTTTCCTCAGAAATGGTTTCTGCCAATTTCTTTTTTTTTCCTGTAAAGGGGCCATAATTTTCTGTTTGTTTTGTATGCTTTTGTCAGTCTGTTGTCCCTTCTTCCAGAGGCTACAGGTAGTATACATCTTTAAAGTTTTTGGTTGACTCCAGCCTGGGGATCTGCTCCTATCTGCAAGAAATCTCCAGACAGGAGTGCCTGGGGGGTGCAGTCAGTTAAGCATCCAACTCGTAGTTTCGCTCAGGTTGTGACCTCGGGGTCGTGGGATCAAGTTCCGCATCGGGCTCTGCGCTTAGCGCAGAGTCTGCTTAAGACTCCCTCTCCCCCTCCCCGACTCTCGCTCTCTCTCTCAAATAAATAAATAAATATTTTTTTAAAAAATGAAAAAAAAAAAAATTCTCCAGACAGGTCAAAATGCATAGCCACAGTGATTTGGGAACAAAGTAAGTATTATACCTACCAGCACCAGCAAGGCACCGCCTGGAACTCAGGCCATCATGTCCATAGCTGCTGCCATGCTGGAGTATGGGGGATGGTAAGTGAGGAAGCAAAAATACAATACTTCCTTACTGAAATTTAACAGGCTTTTTCTTTTTTTATTAAGTACTCTCTTGGTTGCTGTAAGTTTTTTTATTAGATTTCATATATTCAAAGATGTTGATTCAGTAAGTTTTGCCAGCTTAAGTGCTATTTTGGTGGAGGAACTTATTCTATAAGCTTTTTACTTTGCCATTTTCCATGACATCACTCTGACATCTATAATTACCTCT